AAACCAGGAATAAATAACCAGGAAGGTAGAAAAAAACCAGGAAGGGAGTATAAACCAGGAAGGGAGAATCAACTAGTGCTAGAAATCAGCCATGACAGTAAGCTCTACACCTTAGCATTTTCCACCCATTGTAAAAAAGTGCCAAATTCCCCAGCTGGTGGGGGTTTGGCACCCCTCCCACCACCTGGCACCCCTCCCTCACCCCACTCTACTTTAAAATTCTCTACCTCTATCTTTCAACCCTTCCCTAATTCCATTCACCAGACTTAATCCCCACAATATTCTTATTCTGCCCATATAATATATATATATATATAATATATATATATATATATATATATATATATATATATATATAAATAATATATATATATATATATATATATATATATGCAATAAGATCACAGTAAACAGGCGATTTCATAATATGTCAAAACAACCACTGTGAAAGAATAGAGAAATTCCAAGCGCTTTCGTGACCACTCACATTATCAAGGTCACTTGTTGGGAGATGAACACTTGACGGTGTCACCGCAGAACTAATAAGACACATGGTCTATGTGTTCCTTGATAATGTGAGTGGTCACGAAAGCGCTTGGGAAATTTTCTCTATTCTTTCACAGTGGTTGTTTTGTGTGTGTATATATAAATATTTTATATATATATATATATATATATATATATATATATATATATAATATATATATATATATATGTAATATAATATATATATATATATATATATATATATATATATTATAATATATATATATAATATATATATATAAATAAATGTATATATATATATGTATATATATATAATTTATATATATATATAATAAATGTATATAATATATATATATATATATATATATATATATATATATATATATATATATATATATATATATATATATATATATATATAATATATATATATATATAAAAGTTATTGTCTCACTGGTCAGGTCATCTGCTGTCACCATAAAATCTTGTTGGTGTTTGTGTTGTCAGTTTCCAGTTTACAACTACTAAGGTTGAAGAACCTACTACATGTTTCTACTGCAGTAATCAACACTAGGACAACGTGGCTACAGTGTATTCAAGTGTTAGGACACAGCATCTTCAATGTATTTAAGTGTTAGGACGCGTGTCTTCAATGTATTCAAGTGTTAGGACACGTGTCTTCAGGATACGAGGATGCTGGACGGTGTCACACAAGAAAAAAAGGCTTGACAGGTCACTTGTTGGGAGATGAACACTTGACGGTATCACCGCAGTACTAATCAGACACTGGTCTATGTGACGGCAGTGTGAGTGCCTCCGGCACTGCAGTGAGTGACGGCGAGGAAGGCACTGTGAGTGTCCCCTAACGGGGTCGTAACACACACACTGATGGCAGACGGAAAGTGACAAATACTACGGATGTGGCGTGGCAGGCACAGAAGCAGGGGGGAGGCGTGTGGCACCCCTTGGAAAAAAAACCCGGCACACACCCCACCCCAAAACCTTGGCACTCTCCCCAACACACCCCGCACAACACACACACAAAACACACACCCACACACACGCACACACACACACACACACACACAAAACACAAACACACACACACACACACACAAAAAAAAAAAAAAAAAAAAAAAAAAGGGTTTAAGGAAAATCCAGCATTTATATTATTATAAATAATGGCAACGAAGCTCTGAGCCTACAGGGGCCCACATAATTCCTTGGAATGGGGGGAAATTTCAGCGGTCTGTTAAAGGGGAAACCCACGAGCCCTTCACCAGAAATCTGGCACCCCCCCCCCCTCCCCGGGGATTGAATCAAAGCTAACAGTGTCAATCAAAAATCATCACCCCCACACATCATTCCCCACCCAAAATCACCCTCACCACCCCACCCATCCCCCCAGCTTTCAGGGTTTTTTTCACCAGAAAAAATACTTGTCAAAAACTTTGGGAGGACGTCTGCGGGGGAGCCATCCGGGAACCCTAGCTACTATTTCCCTTTCCCTTCCCCCCCTTCTCCCCTCAGCTGATCCTCTCCCCCCCTCCACCATCCCCCACCTGCCTCATCACCAGATGAACACGGGGACACAAAAAACGAAAGAACAAAACAAAAAGGATAAAAAAACATAATACAAAACTCAAAAATAAAAACACAGAATAAAAAGAACACTAAAAGGAAACACCTAGAACACAAAAACCATATATAACAAAATAAAAACATAACACAAAAACACATAAAAACATAACACACAAAAAAAAAAGGGGCAAAAACAGGTGAAAAACACGAAATAAAACAGCCCAACATAAAAACCATATGTGAGAACGAAGTCATAGAACATAACACTGGAATACCAAAAAAACAAACCGGACCCCAGGAGCAGAGACTCAACCAAAACCCAACCACAAAACGAGCACAGGGAACGTAAAAAAAATTCCCTGACTGACAGATGACGGGGAAAAGGGGTTTTTCCTAAAAACGCGGGATGTTTTCCCTTCAGCAGCCCAGACTTGATACGCCCTTTGGGGGGATCTCTTATTTTCCCCTTTTCCTTTTGTTATTCCCTTTTAAAATAAGATACGAAAAAAAAGGAGAATATCCAAATTTTACCCAAAGGAGTGTGTGTTTGTGTGTGTGGAAATGTGGGTGTGTATGTTTTGGTGTATGGGGTGTGTGAAATGTATTGTAAAAATTTTTGTGTGTGGTGGTGTTTGGTGGGGTGTGTTGTGTGTGGTGTGGTGGGGTGTTTTTTGGGGGTGTGTGTTTTGTGTGGGGTTGTGATTTCCCTATTGGGGTGGGGGGGTCGAGCCCGAGTTTCCGGCCCCGCCTCTTCACTGATCGCTACTGGGTCATCTCCCTGAACCGTGAGCTTTATCATACCTCTGTTTTAAAAGCTATGTATGGACCCTTTCCCTTTCCACTACATCGCTTCCCCCAAACTTTTCCCACTTACTGACAAAACCTGTGGCTGAAGAAAAAACTTCCAAACATCCCTGTGATTCTTTCTGTGTCCAATTTCCCAACGGTCCCCTTTTTACTGTGTCCAATCTTTTGGAACACCCCTGCCCTTTGTCCCCCTTTTTAAATTTTCCTCTCAGTATTTTGTATGCGTTTTTTCATGTCCCCCCTCTCCTCCTGTCCCCCGTGTCCGGGTTTGTTTTCCCCTTTAACCTCTCCTCGTAGGACATACCCCCAAAGCCCCGGGGACTATTTTGTTGCAAACTTTTTGGCACTTTCCCCAATTTTTTTAACGTGCTTTGGCTAGGTGGGGGTTTTCCAAACTGGTGCCGCAAACTTAAATAGGGGCCTAATGTACAGGGTGAAACAGGCCCCTGAACGTTTCCTTGTTAAGATGTGGGAAATTTCTGTTCTGGGGTTTTTCAAAGGCCCCCCATATTTTGCAGCAGTTATTTGGTTAATGTGCGCTTCGGGAGATGTGCCTGGGGGGTTATCCCCCCACCCCAAGATTTTTTTCCCTTGAGTGGGGTTTTGGTAGTCCTCGGGCCCCCTGACTGTACTCCGTCTGCGGTCTTTTTTGCCCCCCCCCAAACCCTTCATAAATTTGCACTTGGGGGGATTGAACCCCCGGGACCCAAATTTGCTGACCAGGTCTGCAGCCTGCCCCAGATCCCTTTGTAGTTTTGCCGGGGGTCTTGGGGGATCGAGTAATTTCTTCCCATAAACCCTTAAACGTAATCTGCAAACGGGGACCCCAGAGTCTATTCCCTTCCGTCATGTCGTTCACAAATACCAAAACCCACGGCCTAGGACTGCCCCTGGGGGACCCCGCTGGTCACAGGTGCCCACTGTAACACCTCGCCACTCCCAAATGACTCGCTGCGTCTTTCCTGACAATTTTTTTCCCTGATCCATTGTAGTCCTTCCCTGTTACCCCTGTTTGGGGTTCCTCCATTTTTTGCACCAATCCTTGTGGGGAACTTGTCCAAACCCCCCTTTTTGCAGTCCAAGAATATAAATTTCCCCCCACCCCTCTCTCTTTTTGTTTTACGCTGCCCCACCATTTTCGGGTATGTGTGTGTATTTTGGTGTTGTGTGTGTGTTTGTGTGTGTGTGTGTGTGTGTGTGTGGGGTTTTTTTGGTGTGTATTTGGTGAATGGTGTTTTAAATGTGTTGTGAAATGGTGTGTGTATGTGTGTGTGTGTATGTGTGTGTGTTGTTTTTTGTGTTTTGTGTGTATGCGTGTGGTATGCGTGTTTAGGGCCGTGTTTTAGGCGGTTTGTATGCGTGTGTGAAAGCGTTGTGTATGTGTGGGGTTTTGTGGGGAAAGTGTGGGGGTGTTTTCAAAACAGTGCCAGGAGAAACAGGCACTGTGGGGGCACCAGTGTCATCACACACGTTCCCCTCCCTTCCCCCTCCCCCTCCCCCCCCCCCCCCCCCCCCCTTCCAGGGCCAAACCCTTTTCCCTACCCTCAGAGGGGGGTTTCTTTCCCCCAATACTTTCCCAGATGGGGTCCAAGTGGCTGCCGTCCAAAATAGTGAAGGGAAAACACGATGCAGATAAAAATTTACTCCCCACACCGCTTCACTTTGTGAAAGAGTTTTTTAAAGTTATAATTTTCTGACAGCAGCCATGTCCTCGGTACCCCCCCCCCCCCCATTTCCCGGCTTAAGTAGGAACTTCAGAAGAAACAAAAAACTGACACACATCAAAAAAATACAACAGAATTAAAAAGACAACAGTGACCACAACCCTCTAACCTACGAGATAACAATTTAAAAGGAACACTGACCACACCATCCACAACTACAACACAACAATTTAAAGCCGGGGAAAAGCTGCCTTTGGGAGACCCTTGTCCCTCCCCCAGGGTAACCATAGACAAGAGGCAGCAAATAACGACTCAGAGCTATAACTCAACACAGAAATTTTTTGAAAATGGATTAACCCCCTTGAAGGGGGCCCAGGTAAAAAAGTACCACACAAGGCAGACGAGCAACGAACAGGAAAAAAAAAATAAGAAAAACTCCAGGAGTTAACATTCCATAACCCCATCACCAAAACACAAAAAAACCCATCAGCAAAACACTAAGCCAACCCCGGGGAAACCCCAAAACAAAATTTTTTGCTCTCACTGAGACTTTAAAAAAGAACCAATGTGCGAAAGCAGCTTAAAAATAAAAGTTTTTTGGGTTTTTTTTCGCTTTTTTTTTCCGCCACCCGAAAGTTTCGCAAGTCTTTAAACCCAAACCCAAGGGGCACACAGCACATCGGGGAGTCAGCATGGGCGCGTACATGCAGAGAAAAAAGGGGCACACATGTGGGACACAAAGGGAATAAACAAAAGCAAACACAAAACGGTTTCCAAAAAAAAACACATACAAACATAAGTGCATATAGGGCGCACTTTCAAACACAAACTACACAATGCACCCCAAAATACAAAACCCCCAAACGTACACAGACGCACACCCCATACAAACACAAAAATAAAACAACGCACACACTTAAAAAAACACAAACGTACATAAAGCACACACAAACACAAACTACACAGACGCCCAAAAAACCCCTACAAAAACAAACGTACATAACGGGACATATACAAAACACAAAAGTACATAGACGCCCCACAATGCAAACACCCAAATATAACATATACATCCAAAAAAAACCCAAAACAACCCCCCCCCCAAACATACAGCAACAAAAAACCCACCCCCCGGGCAGCTTGGGGGAGAGCCATACAGAATGCTAGCAAACCCACGCCCGCACGCCCCCAAAACCCCCCCACTTTTCCCCCCTTTTCATGGGCCCCTAAAAACCTTTTGTACAAACCCCCTCACCCCTCACCCCCCCCCCCAAAAACCCCACTTCCGGCACAAACATTAGAACAATTTCTAGGGGAAAAATTTCCCCCAAAATTTTTAACCCCCCCCCTCCTCCAAGACCCCCCTGCCCCTGACGCCCCCTCTTCCTTGGGGCGCCCCCCTTTCCCCCCCCAACACCCCTTCCCTGAAACCCCCTCTCTCCTCCAACCCCCCTTTCCCCCTCCAAACCCCCGCAATCTATGCCCGCTTTTTCACCCCAAAAAAATCCCCCTTCTCACAAACCCCCCACCCCTTCAACAATATCACCCCCCAAAACCCCCACATTTAACCCTCTTCAACACCCCTTTTCCAACATAGGGGCCCAACACAGGTTTTTCCAACACCTCTCCAACATAGGGCCCAACACAGGGTCTCCAACACCATCCCGTCACAAGGGTCTCCAAAACGTTTTCCCCACTGAAGAACTTCGAGTCATCCCCTCTCCCCCCCCACAAAGCTTATTCCCCCCCCCCACACCCACCACAACCCCGCCCCTCCTTCACCCCCCCAAATCCAATTCTCCCCCCCCCCCCCCACCCCCACAAGCTTCCCCCCACCCTTTAAAA